AAAATAGCGCCCTTTCCAATGGCCACAGACGACACAGCAATTCGTGTGTGTGTAATCCCTGTGGTCTGGCAATTTCGTTACGGCACGCATAAGTGGGAGGGAGGGAAGGAAGGAGGGAGAGAGAGAGAGAGAGAGAAGAGAGAGAGGGAAGGAGGGAGAGAGAGAGGGAAGGAGGAGAGAGGGAAGGAGGGAGAGAGGAAGGAGGGAGAGAGGGAGGGAGGGAAGGAAGGAGGGAGAGAGGGAAGGAAGGAGGGGAAAGAGGGAAGGAAGGAGGGAGAGAAGAGAGGGAGGGAGAGAGGGAGGGAGGGAAGGAAGGAGGGAGAGAGGAAGGAGGGAGAGAGAGGGAAGGAGGGAGAGAGGGATGGAGGGAGAGAGGGAGGGAGGGAAGGAAGGAGGGAGAGAGAGAGGGAAGGAGGGAGAGAGGAAGGAGGGAGAGAGGGAAGGAGGAGAGAGGGAGGGAGGGAAGGAAGGAGGGAGAGAGAGAGGGAAGGAGGGAGAGAGGGAAGGAGGGAGAGAGAGAGAGAGGAGAGAGAGAGAGAGAAGAGAGGGAGGGACGTAAGGGAGGGAGGGAGGAGAGGGATGGAGGGAAGAAGGAGGGAGAGAGAGGGAAGGAGGGAGGAAGGAGTGGAGAGAAGGGAGGAGGGAAGGAAGAGGAAGGGAGAGAGGGAAGGAAGGAGGGAAAGAGGGAAGGGGAAGGAGGGAGAGAGGGAGGGAGGGAAGGAAGGAGGAGAGAGGAATGGAGGGAGAGAGGGAAGGAGGGAGAGAGAGAAGGAGGGAGGAGAGGGAAGGAGGAGAGAGGGATGAAGGGTGAAAGGGAAAGAGGGAGGGAGGAGGGATGGAAGGAGGGAGAGAGGGAAGGAGGGAGAGAGGGAAGGAGGGAGAGAGGAGAGGAGAGAGGAGAGAGGGAGGGAGTAAGGGAGGGAGGGAGAGAGGGATGGAGGGAAGGAAGGAGGGAGAGAGGAAGGAGGGAGAGAGAGAAGGAGGGAGAGAGGGAAGGAGGGAGAGAGGGATGGAGGGTGAAAGGGAAAGAGGGAGGAGGAGGGATGGAAGGAGGGAGAAATGGAAAGTGGGAGAGAGGGAAGGAGGGAGAGAGGGATGGAGGGAGAGAGGGAGGGAGGGAGGGAGGGAGGGAGGGAAGGAGGGAGAGAGGGAGGGAGAGAGGGAAGGAGGGAGAGAGGGAGGGAGAGAGGGAAGGAGGGAGAGAGGGATGGAGGGAGAGAGGGAGGGAGGGAAGGAGGGAGAGAGGAAGGGAGAGAGGGATGGAGGGAGAGAGGGATGGAGGGATGAGGGGGATGGAGGGAGAGGGGGATGGAGGGAAGGAAGGAGGGAGAGAGAGTAAGGGAGGGAGGGAGTGAGGAAGGAAAGAAAGAAGAGAAGGCGAAAGGGAAAAAGGGAAAGGAGGTTGGACAGAGAGAAGAGGAGGAGGGAGTCAGGAGGGAGTTGGGGTGGAGAGGAAATGGAAGGAGTTAGGAAGGGGGAGGGAAAGACAGAAAGGATGAGGGTGAGGATAAGGAGGAAGGAAGAGGAGGAGGGTTAGGAGAAAGAGGAGGAGGAGAAAGAGGAGGAGGGGGAAGAGGAGGAGGAGAAGGAGGAGGAGGAGGAGGAGGAGGGGGAGGAGGAGGAGGTGGAAGAGGAGGAGGTGGAAGAGGAGGAGGGTGATGAGGATGAGGAGAAGAGTTAAAGAAAGATAAAGAAAGCCAGAGAGAGAGAGAGAGAGAGAGAGAGAGAGAGAGAGAGAGAGAGAGAGAGAGAGAGAGAGAGAGAGAGAGAGAGAGAGAGAGAGAGAGAGAGAGAGAGAGACAGACAGACAGACAGACAGTGGGCGGAGGGAGACACAGACAGAATAAAAAAAAAAGAAAACAATAAACGGAACTGAAGAAGAAACAGGAATCAAATGAATACGAAAAAGACCTAAATTGCATCCCCAGACAAAGACTTCTTCTTCGACAAGCAATAAAGCATTACCATGTCAAAGGAACAGTATTATGCAAGGCGTGTCTTTAAAATTTCTGCAGCGATGAACAGTTCCCTCTTTCTGGAAGACGCGAAACGCTTCTGAATTTAAAAGGAATTGAAGCACGTAATACAGTTTGAAAATTATTTGTATGTTTTTTTTTTTGTTTTTTGTTTTTTTGTCTTCTCCTACGTTTCTCTTTTAACGGCAAAAAAGGGGAGAATGCTGAAGTCTGTCTTGCGAAAGGGAGATCATGGATGATAAATACCGATAATCAGATGTAAGTATAATAAGCCGCATGAACAGCAAGAGAACGTGGTATGACTGTTACTGGCAGGGTACAAGGATGCGGACTCAGGGAACTAAAAACAAAGACGACAGCAAGGTACAATGGTACAGACGGCAGCGAAACCGACGTTACACGCATTGACATTAGAAGTGCCAGGTACAAATGGCAGCAAGGTACAACGGTACAGACGGCAGCAAGGTACAACGGTACAGATGGCAGCAAGGTACACGGAACAGTGAGAGAGAGGCGGTACTCAC